AGCGCTTTGAGTGGAGTGTCCAGAAAAGCGCTATATAAGTGTAAGCAATTATTATTATTATTATTATTATTATTATTATTATTATTATTATTATTATTATTATTATTATTATTATTACTTACTTTAGGTGTTCAGTTAGCCCGTGTCATGCAACAGGGGCTTTTACAACTGATTTCTTTACATAGAGATGACAGACTTTTGCGTTGATTTGGACAAACCTGCATCATATGTTCAAGCACATTGTACTAAAAATACTCTACTATATACACAAGTTATACATGGCTTGTTTTTAATAAAAACAGCAGCCACAGCTGCTGAGGGTTAGATCTTCTTGGTGGGTTAGCTTTGCTCATAGCAGTTGCTATAAGGCACCAAGGTAGAAGAGCATTTTCTCCTCTATAGCACAGTAATGCTGTTGGTATCAAAATTAAACACTGAACATTAAATTGCCACTTTGAAATTGTGGCCGCTCCACAGAATCTTAAAGGGTAAATATGTTTTTTGTACGTCTGAATGGATTAGTAAATTCCCAAGGAAGTTACTGTTCAAAAGCTCATTGTGTTTTTTTGTTTTTTTATTTTTGTTTGCATTGTTAAATATAAAATTCAGACAGCCACATTATGGGGGAAAAAAAGCAGGCGCCCACAGACTAAACATGCTCAATGCAATTGTGACACTGCAGCAAATCAAAACAAACAGACGCTTCAATTGGCAAACTCCTGTTTTGTCATTTAAAAGTTAAAAAAAAAAAGAAAATGAAATCTGTGGTTGACTATTTTCTTGTCAAAGAAGCAGCTTTTACAAGTCTTTTTAGCACATCTTATTGTAACATTTGTTATGTTTGTTGTTCCCAATGTCTCTTTTCAATACCGTGTCTGTCTAACCATATCTGTGGACTGCAGGATTACAGTTTCATTGTCTTTCCCCCTGCAGTGTATGCTGACCTCTGGAAAACAGGAATGTTTGAGCGCATGAGTCTGCAGACAGACGAAGATGAGCACAGTATCGAAATGCATTTGCCTTACACAGCTAAAGCCATGGAAAGGTAGCCAACTGCAATGACAAAGACTTCTGCCTTTGCCCAATCCTGGTTCTTAATTTTGATAAAATTACACTGTAAATTGTGGCTGGGGTGGAAATCCTGTCAGCTCTGGCCTGCTGTATCCCTGGGGCAGGATGATCTGCCCTGTCTGAGCCGTGAAGCTCACAGGGTGCCAACTGGGACTTTGATTTTTGCTGGGTCTGTTTGTACCATTTTGCTTTTGTGTTATGTGCACTGAAATCATCTTTACATAATTAAAAAGTCAGTACAGTTGCTGAAGTGATTGTAAATGCTCTGCAATGCCAAGGGCTTTTCCTGTAAAAAAAAAAAAGCAGGGCTGAGTATTTGCAGAATTAACTTTTTCCTCCATTCTGGCAGTGTTGGGTGTTTGTCTAATGAGAAAACAGCTTCTTTTTGCAAGTTTATTTTCCTTATCCTGCAAATCAACATTCAGATTAGTTTTATTCCATTAAAAAAGCAATTGAAAAGCTCGAAACTCAGAGAAGTCTATAAATGCCTTTTGCATCATTTCGATTGTTATTCCATTTGCTTCATTGCATGCCTTTGTGATAATGGCATGCTAGCCGAGCGGTCGTTTTGCTTGAAATCAAGTTGTATTCCGTTTTCTCTGAATAGGTCATGGTTAGGAAAGTATAAGGGGGTATTGTTCGGTAGTGAAGTTTAATATCTGCTTGGGGGTGATTAGAGCAATCTAGAATACATTCTGCTTTGTACATAATTAATATGAGCTTATTTTCGCTTTTGCTGAAGCAGAGACTTCAGTCTTTTATAGGTATTCAGTAGGACCAGCCAACACAGCTGAAGCCTAGAGGTTATTTTCTCAATCTGTTTTCTTTCACTCACAGTTCTAGTCATTTTATTTTGAACCAGCTGCTGTTTTGTTTATAGGCACTGAAAAAAGCTTTGCGATATTTCTGGGTTAAGAAAGGAGAATCCTTCAGAGCTTAGCGGTTCATTTGGTATTCAGAAAAGGTCAATTCTGTTGACCCCAAATTCAACACTTTTTTTTTTTAGTGATTCTCAGAATTTTCAGGCGATTATTTTTCGGATTGTATTAGTTTTATCCTTCCTGAGTGTTGTGCTTGTTTGGTATAAAATGTCATGAAGTCAGCAGTCAGCTGATGTCAAAACAGTTTGCCTATTCGTAACAAAATTGGTGGAACTAACTGTATGGTTTTTGTAGTACAGTCACACATGCAGTTCATTAGCTTTCCTGTCATTTTCCCCTTTTTGCACTTGTAGCCATAAAGATGACTTTTCAATTGTTCCGGTGCTGGTGGGGGCTTTGAGTGAATCTAAGGAGCAGGAATATGGCAAACTTCTCAGTAAATATTTGGCCGATCCAAGTAACCTGTTTGTGATTTCTTCTGACTTCTGCCATTGGGGTGAGTCCACTGAGTCATTGGAAAGGTGCAGCAGTATTTTGTTTTTTGGTTTCTTTTACAAGTCCATTCTTGGAAATGCCACCTTGTGATCTTAAAAGGGCCAAGAACCTGTTGGATGGGTTTTGTTGATCGTGTTTTGTTGATCGTGTTTTGTGGGGACATTCTGAAGAAAAATGAAGGGGGATCCTCAGCAAGGGACTAACATGAGCAAATGAAAATACAGCACAAAGAGTATTATCATGTTTAAAAAAATGATTGCCTATTCATCTGATGCTAAAATAAAGTATTACTGTAAAGAATTTCCCAGTTTAAGATAATCTTTAGAGTACTAATTTCTGCACTGGACTGCAAATGTTAGCTTGAAGCTGAAGATACTATGTGCTGTTTCTGTTTTTCTCACACACTGATAATTTCCTTCACTTTTCTTTTCCAAAGGACAACGTTTCCGCTACACGTATTACGATGAGTCCCAGGGGGAGATCTACAGATCTATTGAGCACCTGGATAAAATGGTATGAAGCTGCTTTTCTGTAGTGCACCCAGGTGCCTGTGGCTGGACATTTTGTACTGAGCCAGCTTACAGTCCCATGAGGAAGCTGCCAAAATCAAAAGGGCAAATACGAATCAGTTTAGTCCAATGTAGTAAGAATGAGCCTAAATACTAAGGAGATGGTTTTACTGTCAAATTCCCAGTGGGTTTCTGGAAGTAAAGAGTTTAACATTATCTTTGATACATTTACTGACTTGTAGTCACTCCTAGTGTTTAAACTTCCAACAAAAGAATAGAGTACCTTCGATTTTTTCCCTTATGTTTGCTAGTGAACTATTTTTTTTTGCATTGAATTGACTGTCCAGATCTTTTTTTTTAATTTTAGCTTTAAGGAATATCAGACAGGACACCCAGATAATGTAATTAACTAGCACGCCCATTTCACGCAGTCTTCTGGGTTTAGTAACAAAGCCACCCTCCCTAAGAGCAGGTCTGTAAGGTGTGCCGTGTTCTGGGAGTTACCATGGATACAGGAATCTGACATGGCTCCTTTTTCAGAGACCATAACCTGCCAAGTGCATCAGAGCTGTGTAGATAATTGCTACTTTGAGGGGCAAGCCGTTTTAGCTGCATTTTAAGACCAGATCTGCTGTTCTGGGAAGAAGCTATACTAAAATATCACAAGAAAGTCTTTCAGACATGTTTAAAAATCATATGAATGCATTTTTCTCCCTAGTAAGTTTTTAAAAAGTAAAAATAAGTAGAGGCTTAAAAAATTGAACCATTTGATTCGATTTGAAATTGCAAGTAATATGTGATTGTAATGGATTTTCTTTTAAAAAGTATCTCCAACGATGTTTGTAACTTCGGCTGTATTTTAGATTTTTTTTGTATAATTCCAAATGCAAATAACTTGATTTGTTTTCCTTTTAGGGCATGAGCATTATAGAACAATTAGACCCTATATCCTTTAGTAACTACTTGAAGAAATACCACAACACTATCTGTGGACGTCATCCTATTGGTGTGTTGCTAAATGTAAGTATTACTACACATAAATCATTTTGGGTTACTTTTAATTGGAGGGCCTTTTAGGAAACTAATGTGGACGGAATCATGGGTCAAAATAACTGTGATAGATTGAATACGTTTGTGTTACATTACAGTTGGTTGAGTTCAGACTTCCAAAAAAACTGTATTTCGTTTCACATTCAAAACGAGCTGAATGTGTATATTCAGATTGAACCTGGTTGTGAATCAGAATAGAAAGAGAGGCTTGAGTGCACTGGGTGTGTGAACGTCAGCATAAAAGACACTGACATCTGATGTTTTTCCACTGCACCGCTGGTTAGACTTAACTTCATAGCATGTATTTTCATAAGCCCTTAACACACTAAAAAACTTAGAAGCACCATTAGATCTTTTTGTACTAATTGCTGAGCAGTCTAAACCTCTGGGTGTCTCACTAGTCAGTGCTCACATCCAGTGAATTTTGCAAGTTCAGCTATGCATTTGAAAGAGACAGTAGCAAGCATTATGCAGTCTTCCAAGTGCAATGCGTTGGCACGATAAACGGATCTTTCTTTTTCTGGTCTTATGATTTTATGAAGCCTGCTATTCTTGGTTAAAGGTATTAATTATTTTAAGATGAAGCTGCAAAGAGAGCTAAAATGAAGTCAAGGTCTTATTGATACCTTGATTGAATAATTGTGGATGTTCCTGCTGTTCGTTTTGTGCATTATGATATAAAATGGAGGGATTGTATTTTTATACTTTTCTGTTTTGTAATAAGCTATTAAAGAGGTATGTTGACTTACAGTTATGCTCAATACAGTGGTCCTAGTAGAGCAACTTTGCATTTAGAGCAATAAATCCTACATGTTGAATCAGGAGGAAAGGGCTTCTTTCCTTTTTCTCTGGAAGAAGCCACGGATCTCTCAGTGGATCTCATGCCTGTCTGTTTGGGGAAACGCCGTACAGTCCTGTGTTAAAGGTGTTGTGGCTGGAGTTTGTGCTGGTGGTGACAAGAGAAATGCGTGTGAGGTGAAATGGGCACCCGAGCATGGCGTCAGAACACCAGGAGCTCTTTTGCCTGACAGTATCGGGGCCCGATTCAGAGAATATTAAACTCAGTTTAATCTCAGTCCTACATACAGAGAGGAGACCTTTCACCTGCCTTCAGCAGCAGAGTAAAGGAACCTCCTGCCAGACCCAATGCGTGTTACATGAAAGATCCCAGCTCTCACTATCCATTGTTGTTTGCTTGTGTTGTTGCAGGCTGTAGCGGAGCTGAAGAAAAACGGAGTGGACATGAATTTTTCTTTCCTAAACTATGCCCAGTCAAGCCAGTGCCGGAACTGGCAGGATAGCTCTGTTAGTTATGCAGCCGGAGCGCTGGTCGTCCATTGAGACCACTGCACCTCAGGAAGCCATACGTAGCGCCTGGCTCCGCCTCCTTCCCTTCTTCCACGCCCTCTCCCAGCCTTCCCTTCCGGAAAGACTCGGATAGTTCAGAGTGCTCGGATATCTTATAATATCTCCAAAAGCCACAGAAAAAAAAAAAACATACGTATGTATAACCCCAGCCTTGGATGTATTGGTTACAATATCATTTTTATGTGTGCGCAAGTGTGTGTGTGTGTAGGGTTGTCAAAGGACTAAGGCTGGCATACCATGTGAGTGGTAGGTGTTTCTGATTTAGGAGTGACAGAAAGGGGTTGCAGAGGCTTTGTGGCCCCTTTTAGCCCCTTTTCCCCAAGTTAAAATAAATTCTCACATTTGCACTCTTTGCAGACATGTGCACATGTATTTTGCTTGAAAGATTAGGTCTGGAGGTAAAGGCAAAACAAAAGTGGGAGCTTTTAAATAATGAAACCAGACAATACATATATAGATCCTATATACTATTAGAAACTATTAAAAGCAGTATAGGTAGCTACTGCCGATATTGTACAGCGGGAACCTACTATTGTAGTTGCTAATAAAGGGCTACACTCGACCCAGTCCACTAACATTTCTGCTGTACAATCTATACCAAAAAAGCAACTCCTGTTTTTTTATTTTCTTATTAGCCAATTAAAATTGTGATTTCTGTCTCTGTCCTTTGCTGTTTTCTTTATTTCCCGCTTTAACTGTCATTAATGTAAACATTTTGGAACTCACATATGATCAGTTGGCAGTGGTTATCATGACAGCTATTATGGTTGTCAGTGTATTCTTGTACCCTTGCAAACGGCTCGCACCTTTTTCTGGGTGAAAACACAGATTTGGCCTGGCTATACCATTATATGCGTCATTGAAACTTTTTTCACCAGTGAGATTTTTTCCCTCATGGAAAGTAATGCCTATTTATTTTACTTCCCCCGAGGAAATTGCTGGGTAAAGTACATTTTGCATTTGTACACTTGCTGGTAAAATTTGAACTATATAAAGTGACGTCACTTCTTGTTGTTTTTTATGGTGCAAATGTCAGATCCTTATTAGAATACAAATCCTTGGTAATAATTCCTTTCCATCTTCCCTGATTCAGACCTGGTAAATTGAATAGGCCTGAGTACTGCTGCAAGATCTGTCCGTTTGAAGAGTTTCGGATTGCTGAATGAATCTGGCTGATAAAAGAATAGGGGGAGTCTGCCATTGAATCAAAGAGCCTCTTGCCTCCATGAGAAAAACTCTAGTACTCCGATGCAGAGTTTGTATTATCTCAGGTTAAATTAAGCACCCGGTATGCTCTGCAGATATTCTTAATAGCTCATTACAAATGTTTTAAAAATTGAAGTAAAATGCTGAAATGCATCAATTTCTTGGTGTCTTTTCTTCAATTATTCTTTTTTAGACGTTCTGCCCCTTCTGCATAGCTCCATGTTCATGATTAAATGGCATTTAAAATGAGGAACAATAGTGAATAGCAATTAGAAATCACAATGTGACAATTTTATACTTTTGAAATGTTGGGAATTGAGTTCACTTCCGAAGCTACGTTTAAATTTAAAGCAGACTTACTGATCGTGTATTAAATGAGACGGAAGTTAAGTGGTAACCTTCCAAATTCCAAAAACTGCAAAAGTAAGATATTTTAAAGTCTTTCCTGTTTAAGTTTGTAGGACATTATAAGTATTTTTTCTTGGATTTCTTACTTCATGTGGAAAATAAAGGGTAAGTCACACATTTGGCTCAATTTACTCATACATTATTAAATCAGTTTTTCAGGCTTTTTGGGACTTGTCAGGGGATAATAACATGCCGAAATTGAATGCAATTCTGTTACTCAGTATATCACTTGCATGGGGAGTCTATAAGTCACTGTCCTGTGGCTTTTAACTTTGTTTTTGCTTTGCTTTCCATCACTGTTGTAATTGCTGCGTAGTTTAGTCGTCTTGTTTTTTTAATGCTACAGCAGCCAGTAGGGGGCGCTTGGAGATTACTGTGCGTTTTACATGGGGATTACAAAACATTCCCTGAACTGCAGAGTAGTATTAAACACATAAACCATCTTTTGAAGGTTATAATTTACATTTAAGGGTTCAATATGCTTTCAGCTCTAGAATAACAAATTTTCCCCTATGAACCATTGAACCATTTGATGATCCATCGATCTTTTTGCTAATTGCTTGCTGGAGAAATAATGCTTGTCCACAGTACTTTTAATTGGACCAATAAGCTGTTAGAATTTAGCACTTTCAGTTGAAATCTAAAGAAGCCTTTGAACCTACGGTTCAGAAATAAACCATTTCTTTTCTTTCACTTTTCTCCCCACCTCAAAATAATATGCTTGTAAACGTTTGGATTTTCAAAAACATTTTGTAATTTCCATCTTTTTCTGTACTCATTACCATCTACAGGAAGTCTAAACAATGTGAGATGTTTCAAGGCTAAATGTTAAAATCCAAATGAAAATTAGTGTAAATTCTTTAGGTGTTTTTTGAAATATCTTACAAATAATGATCGGTTCACATCTGGATGTTTCCTGGGATTATACCTTGTCATTTTTCTGTCCAGAGCTACATGCTGTACGAAAAAAAGCACATTAAGTAAATCCATGTATCCATCTGTTTTCAGTCATTGTATGCTGTTGAAAGCCCAGCTGCACACAGTAAACGTGTTCCCTGTTGTAAATTTTAGATTAAGTCAGAATGACCTTGTTTTGGACTGAGATTTTATTGAAAATGAACGGATGGATTTTTCAAATTATTTAAATGGAACATGGTTTCTAAGAATCTATTCATAAAAAGGATTATCCAATTTTTTTTTTTGCTTCCAGCAAAAGAGAAAAATAATTTACTGAGTTGTTCATCATTTGGACAGGTCAACTGACCCAGTGGCTATATCCTTATTTGATCCTGTTAGCTTTAGCGGGGTATCGCAGATAGAAGGATAGAAAATACAGGTTCACCAGAAGTCAAAGTGCATTGCTATGTCTCTTGGTAAGTGATGAACAGACAGCCTTCAAAGGTATAAGAACCATTCAGCACAAACCATGGCTGACTTGCAAGAAAGTGTGTTCAACTGCTCGCCATCTCTGTGTCTTTATTCAACTTTCAAGCTATTGGGAAACTTTAAGGAACTAATTGATAAACATATTTTTCTTAAGCCCCAATATCAATATTTTTTCAAAATTCATCATTTATCAAAATTTCAGTTTTGTGCTTGCATTTTCTAACTACATTCAACAAGGGGGTGGTGTTGGAGCAAGATGGCAAACCCTTGCTCCTTCTACCTTTCCCAGTAACCTGTCCTGTACTGGTTCCCAATACTAATCTAGGTGACCCACACACCAGTCTTTGCTTCACCTTCATTAGAGCATTGAAGACTTACTTGATCTGAATTGAGTTGGTCCAGTTGAAAACTGTCTTTGCAGTTTGTTTCTAGTCACAAGTGTGGGATTTTATTTTACTTAAAAAAATACAATGGTCAAAGCTCCAACATGTTTAAGAGCTGGAAACAGTTCAGATGAATCTGATGATTTATTAAGTCAGCGAAGGGTTTGGGTGTGTAACTGAGGCCTCGGCTGGAACAAAACCCAACGGGTGTGTGGGTCACCAGGACGAGGATTGGGGACCACTGCAGCACCACGTAACCAATGACCTGTGGCGGCCTGATCAGGTGACCACATGTGGCAGGTTGCTAACGAATGCAGTGAGGGCGCGATCTGCCATTTTGCTCTCCTGCAGCAATACCAAAAGGAAAAAGTTTAGAGGCGTGCCGGTGTGCACAAGGAACAGAGGGAAATGAATTACATGAGGAAAAAGTATGAAGAATGAATAGAATAAATGTAATAATTCAGTGGTGGAGTGTTTTCGCACCACTCTAAAGTTTCCATCACCAGCTCAACCTCTGTGTGAAAGACTTCTCACCCCTGAAGAATGCGTCACTTAAGTTACAGACAGATGCAATTAAAGTGCTACATTTTGTTTTTTACACTGTACAATTTGTTGAACACAAAGAATACACACACAACCCATTTGAAATGTTTCACTAGAACTATGTTACTAAAGAATCACAGGAAAAATATATTCACCAGATTTGAAGTTTTTCTTTAGCAAAAGTACATTCTATTCTTTATTTTACTGTGAGAAACTGAAGGTCATAAAGTTAAAAACCGTAACAGAGCACCTGTTACTAATAACTTGCTGATCTTCTCCATTTCCCATTTTTACAAAAAGACATGAGCTGTGAGCATTAGGGGGGATGGTGATTATGTACAATGTGGTAGACGGTGTAGATATGCATACTGTAAAGGGTAAGTAGGTTACATTTTTTGGGATTGTAGCTCACGAAGGAAAATCTAGTGGATCTCAAACAATTCAAAACAACGGAATAATAAAATATAATTAAGCGTCCCCTGAAACCTATCTTCACTTAATTACCTAAACAGTTCAAGATGTTCTGAAAGACAACATAATTGAAAACTGAATGTAGACATAAAATAACAAAGACCTCAAGTTAAAAGCTGGAGTTAAAGTGCAGGAAGTCTGTAGAATCAAATTTCTTTGGCCAAATGTGAGACCAAATTGATACATCTGTTCTCAATCCTGAAGTATCCATACTCTTTGTGTTTCCTTACATAAATGAATATCCCAACATTACATGGAAAACAATGGTATCTTCTATAGTTTAACAGGAATAATTCTAAGGTGATGGAAAGAATGTGATTTTTGTCCTCTTTTTGCACACAGTAAAACCTGAATGAGTCCATCACACTACAGAATTAATCTGTAGTAATGCTATAGGTAAATAGCACAAGAAAAACGTATATGTTATGCTTATAATGTGAATGTTATTAAAATGTTTCTGTCATTTTAAAAACATTCATGTTGCTTATGATGTATTGTAGGGCTGTGTCTATGTTCTTCTCATAGTACATATTTGGATCTAATCTCACTTGGTATTTTTTATAATGTCGTATTTGTTGTATAACATGAAAAATCCATTTACATTACATTAACATTTGTACTTTACCTGAATTTGCATGGGAAATGTTTTGGTCTAACACCATCATCTATATTTTACATATAGTTGCTTTTATTTTGCATTAACAAAGTTTTTTGTACGACTGTACATACTAGCATGTTAAAAGTGGGTTCTAGCTATATAGCACAGCTGTCTTAAAGAAACAGAGAAACTTCCTTTGTAAAATTACTTAGATAATACAACTGGCTACACAATTATTCGTACTCTTGATAAAATGCAACGTATTTCTTATGCATTCAGTTGTTGCATAATTAAAATAAAAAATGTGAAAAATGGAAAAAGTGTTGGAAATCACAAAAACAAACAGTATTTCCTTGTTCCTTCTTTGGTTTCGATAACAGAGGATTTTTCCTGTAGCCTTTTAATCGGCTCAGGCACGATACAGCAGGGGTTTCTGACCTTTCTTTAATGCAGTACTTCTCCACACCCTTTGGAATATGTGGCTTGTGTATTGCTGTCTACAGCGGAGCGGTGGCTCTGTGGCTCAGGATCTGCGCCTGTGACCGGAAGGTTGCCGGTTCAAATCCCGCGGCCGGCAGAGGAATCCTACTCCGTTGGGCCCCTGAGCAAGGCCCTGAACCCCAACTGCTCCAGGGGCGCCGTACAATGGCTGACCCTGCGCTCTGACCCCAAGCTTCTCTCCCTGTCTCTGTGTCTGTGTCTCCCTGGAGAAAAGCTGGGGTATGCGAAAAGACGCATTCCTAATGCAAGAAATTGTATAGGGCTAATAAAGAAGCATTACATTACATTAGTATGTTCTGTTGAAGTGTAGTCTGGAGATGGTAATGGCCAATCAATAACATTGATTGTAATATCTCTTGCGGATTTTGTAGTAGATTTGGAGACAACTTTCCGATTATTAACATCTCAGAACTTCCTTTCAGGAGAAAGCTTGACCTTCTTAGCAGAAGGAAACAGGTTTTTGTATAGAATATCTTTATATGTTCTGGAATGTCAGGATGCAAAAAAAAAAAACTACAGACAGTGCAGATCCATTTCAACTCTTCATAGTAGGGATAACATTCTTTTTTAGTATTTTACACGCTAAATATACTGACGAACTGTCCAAAAACTTAATCTATGCTTCATCCAGCCACATTGTGTGGTCCCCTTTGACTTGGAAATCAATTAACTGCTGTCTGGAATAAAAATTCATGAGTTTTCTTTTTATGTTGTCAGAGAACTGTGCCAGAGACCCGGATTCATGAAGTCACCCTTGAACACTCCCAAACTACTGTTCTAACAGTAATACAGATGAAACGTTCTTATATTCTCTCAGGTGGGGCTGCAGATATTTCTTTAAACTTGACTGTCTTGTGGATGGGCAGC